ATTTGCATAACAGTTTTCCAACTGCAAAATGTAATCATAACCCTGAGAAATTGACCAATCGACACCCCAGTGAGTAGTGGGCTATTACGAGTTTACATTCACTTAATAACACGAAAAATTTAGATGAAATTTTTCATCTGGTATTGTGTGTTGTAATCTCAAGTTATGCTTTCCTATGTTCATCTAATGTAATACATGGAATGTACAAGGCATAATCTGTTCGCTAAGGTTATAAAATAGTTTTAGCATTCGACTATTTTTCGTCAAGCCGAATTGGTAGAGAGAAAGTTTTGTTTATTGTTATGCACTGCATTCATTTAACGTGACATTATCAAACAAGTGTCCATTGTTCAGTTAAACTTCTATGCACTCTATAAAACCAGGAAAAAATTTTTAAAGGGATGGGAACTATATGCCGAACGAATTTTCGTATCGAGTAATCTGAGGTTTTGCCAAAATATATGGTCTCTCTTTCAGCAAAGAGAGTGCGACAAGGAAACCTTAAATGCTATCAAACGAAATGTATAGTAAAGACTGACACACAATCTAGATACCCTGGATGAGATAACTTTTGGCTAGACCCGCAATTAAACATTGTGTGTTAAAACTTGTCTTATTCAGTATTTTTGATACTGTGTGACATTAAATTGAATGTATACTGCTCTCTTCTGGTCTTTAGCTACTGTTGTTTTCTTATGCTTTCTCATTCATATATATTCCACTTCTCCTTTGAAGTCTGGTCTAAAGCATATTTATGACATAATGTACTCGTATATGTGCAAGTAACAAACGTAAGTAAAAAATAACGGTCAATATGTATTAGATCAAGACATTAAATTACTTCGCGCTGTAAAACAAATCAATAAAATAATAAAAGAAATTATTGTTATTCATCTCATAATCAGAATTGGGACTTTGTGAATATAGTATGAAACTACACGATCAAGGAGTAAAATAACAAAAATTGCGGATTAATAAAAGAAATAATATTCTTATAAACAAATTACACAATAACAGATACTCTAAAAATTTACAATACAACAATTATAGTGGAATGTTCAGTGAATGTGGTAATACTAAAAGAACATGCTGGTAGACTATGAGGGCTTTAAGTATATGACATTTGTTTTGTTGATAATAATAATTACCAATGAAGGGTTTTGATATCATAATATTTATTAATTTGCCAAAAAAACAAAAAAAAAAAAAAAACGTTTGGTTGCACTATATGAAGAATTGACATTGGCTTCCGAATTTCAGGAGCCTCTTGTTTTCAAATTCTAAATTTATAATGACTATTTGTCTTAGTACATAGTTATTATCCGCAAATTTTACCATAGTCATAAAAGATTTATATCAGAGTTTGTAAATGTGATAACATAAAAATAAATAGCAAGAAAGAACTGGCCAGGTCAATGCAAAGGTAAAGTTTAACGTGATTCTAGTGTGTGTGTGGGGGGAAAAGGAGGGAGGGGGGAACAGACAAAAACGGATTCAAATGATGAATGTTACATTTACGGAAATTTAATATATCAAATCTCTTTCCTTAATTTGGTTTAACTTATTAATGCATTAACCGATAAATTAATATAATTTTTTATGAAAAAAATAATAATAATGTTCAGGTTATGTTTTCTATGTGTTTTTTTTTTTTTTTTGTATACTGTTGTTTGCATTTTGCCAATCTCATATAATAACATAGCCGACAAGTGTAACAAATTGTCCAGTTGCTGAAGACTAGTATAAATGCAAGCACATCAGATATTTTAAACTGATGTTTAGACAGCTACTTATGCTAGCACATTTGCCAACATCACTTTGTAAAAATGTGTCTTTCTCCATACTTTATGCATCTAGAAAAAGACTCATACCACATCTTCTTTTTTATACATACACAACCCATGTAACTTGGGACTTCCTTTCACTAATTAAAACAAAGACAACAGCATCAGGTATACCGCTTGCTCTGTAGATCTAGATAAACACATATAGTGTATTGTACACGAAGACGCCAAAGTGATGGTACTGTGTCACGGAGTATCTAATTTAGATACAAGTAGCAATTGCCAGTAATTGTACCACATACTCGACGAGAGACCACACTCCGCCAAACAGTTAGAGGTGAGGTACAGCAAACTCAACATTCTTCAGAGGAACTTCAACACATTTATATCCTAATAGACAAGACATTCTTCATTAAATTCACGCCAACTAAGAAGCCAATCAGCTTGAAAATAACAAGACGGATATGTTACCATTATCCTAACCAAAATCCCGTCATCTTTTATTCAAATGTGGCATTAACGAAAAACTCTTTTTGCCAAATTTAAATAAATATGAGCCGGGTGCCACATGGATCTGCCTTTCCTACAAGAGCACCCGAAAACGTCCCAGTTTTTATTTTGGTTCGTGTTGCTCAGCCTTGTGATTCTATATTGTGTTTTGTAGGATGTTTGTCTTTTGGTCGTTTTTCGTTTTTAACGGAGTGTCGTTAGTTTGTTCTCTCCATATGGATTTGAATAACTCTTTGGTATCTTCTACGTCTTTTTTAGAAATTGGTATTAGCAGACATGCCATACTGTGGACTGCTATTCGACGTTACACAGTCATTCACTATCAGCATCATTTTCATCAAAGAAATAAAAAAAAACCAAACATAGACAATAGACTCTCAACGTTTATTAATCGATTTCTGCAAGACGAACTCGTCCAAGTCAAAAAAAATTATTAACTTGTATACAAAAATATCAAATGTTGGGGAGACAAGAACAAACCAGTATAAAGAGTTTAAATGAACTACAATGAGTCGAGCATGATCTTCAACTTTGTACTTTATTTGGCCTTTGTAAGTTTTTTTTATTAAAGCGTCACTAATGAGTCTTTTGTAGACGAAACGAGCGTCCGGCGTACCCAATTGTAATCCTGGTATCTATGATTAGTGTATGGCATAAGTCACCATACAAATTACAGTGAACAATTCAAACTGGTCGGATAAAAGATATCAACAGAAGGAGATATGGTATAATTGCGAATGATATAGCTATCTATCTGATACTGCGTGAAGCAAGTGTAAGTACTAGTATATAAATGACAACAATATTTTTATATTAAAAGACTGAACAAAATTTGTCGTTTTAAGAAAGATACCTACCGCCTCTTTTTTTCTTTCAAACACTGATCCGGCATTACAACAATAGTCTTGATCACTCTTTGATATCACAAAATGGTTTCTGTTAAAGGAAATATTGCCTATTTCGCTCAACTGGGCATATATATATGACTTTAATTTGAACATGACTGTTATTGTAGATAAATAAGTTTGGTTGCACCAAATGGATTGTAGAATAAAATATTTAGCGGCAAGAGTAAAACCATTTTCATATATCTAAAAACTTTAAACTAACACAAATAAAGGTTAATGTAAAAAACAAAAAATCGTTAAACTACCTTTATGAACACCACAAACACTGTATAAGTAAAAAAATTTGGAGGATACAGTAAGCTTAATATTATATTTCCTTTCTCCTGTCGTGATTCAGGATCAGATTTCAATATTAGTTTTTCGTTTTATGCATCTCTTAATCTTATAAATGTTTTATATTTTGCAAATGTAAACCACTGATTCTTTTCTAAAATGTAAATTTTAGAAATTAGTAAGAAAATGAGGGTACTTTCGACAAAGTTGACTGTAGATGATTTGTTGTCCCCTTATTATTTTATAGCATATTCAGTACTTTGCTTTCGCATATTTTTTTTGACAAGGAAATATCAATCTAGATAAGCACTTTTAACGCAATATACTTACTAGGTACTATTTGTATAGAATAAAAAAAAAAAAAAAGAAAATGAAATGCTATATGATTTACTATCGTATGTCAATATTTATTCAGTATTAAACAGCATATATCATTATAGTCGATCTATTTGACAACTAATGAAATATTCTTTTATTCAAATCTGAACTGTTCGCAACGAAATCTTTTTGGGTTTTATATTCGATTAAATTCAATGTCGAGGTTTATAACTCTTATCATTTTAAATAAACTTTAAATAAGAGTTTTTTTATGTGTTTAAATAGAAAATTATAATCAATAAAAGTCGATTTTTTAAAACAATTAAAAATATAATTAGTCAGCTATATTACAGTATACAAAATAATCATTGTCATTTGTTAATCAATCAGTTATTGTACTGCTTTATTCACACGTATATATTTGCCCGGGTTCGATCATTCACTATTATTATTGAAACATCAATAGAATATGTAATGTATGTTTTAATTCCTTTTGAAAACTTTTTAATTTATTTCATTCATAACATAAGTTAAGTACACAACTTTTACTGTCAGAGTTTGCTCACCAAATTTTGTCAATATACCGGAATTATAAACATTACTGTCAAAGAAGTTGGATGATTGGTTAGCTCGAAAACCAGGTTTTACCCACCATGTTCTTCGGAAAAGGTCTGTACCTAGTCATGATTATCAGAGTTGTTTTCCGTCTTACGTTTGATTTTGTCAGGTTTTCTGGACTACTCTCTTTTTTAATATACTGTGGAGCTCGGTATTTTTGTTAATACTTATTTTTATTCCATTTTCTACAAATCATTTTCGTTCCCTCTCATTTCTAGTAGAGGAGGAAGCAATATCCGATGCCCACTCTATGTACTTCAATCTAATCTGACGTACCATGAGCTAATAGTTTACCTTTAATATAAATGCAATTTCACACTTCGATGCCTGCTTATCAGTTTCTATCATGAATATAAGATTCAAAGGTTATGTGCATCCTTATAAAATTCGTAAACAATTTAATTGCTTTCAAACTTTTATGCATTAATTTTCTACAACATCAATATTTGATATCTTTAAATGTATTTCACCAAAATAAAATCCTAAAAAAATCCTTGTTCTTTTGTATTGGAAAATCAATGAAAGCTTATCTTTTAAAAACATCGAGAATTTGGTGTCATCTATAACATAATACTTATGAAACGCCCAATAGTCTGACTACCAACTGTCTATCAAGCGGCTAGTATTTATACTCCTATGTAAACATGAATGAACCAAAGTTTCGGTTATGCTTCTTTTGACAAGGTAAGATTTGCTATTTAGTACTAGAACTTGTTTTCGTCAAATAAAATATTCACTACTTGTAATTTATTAAATTTCACTAGGATTATTCCTTATAAGTCTTTGGTGTTTTAGAATTAGTGCTTCGCAATCAATAAATGCTTTGCTATTCAACAGGTTTAGACAACGCTATATATTTCTTATCTTCTTATAACTATTCTTATAATTTGGAATAATACTGTGAGGGAAAGCTGATTATAAAACCCATTTCTGTAAATCAAATAGAGCGGATTCCATAGCTAGCTTTTGTTAATGTCAAGCAACAAAACAACAGATACATAATTGTATGTTTTAAATCTAAAGGACTTGCCAGGCAGTATTTATTGTCAACAATGTATAAAAACAAAAACGATGAAAAATAAACGAGAAATCTATTGTATAATGAGGGGAGGAAGGACCTTTTTCGGAATGTCGGGATTAAGCTTTTCTTTGGGGGGGTTCAGGATTGGGCCTATATTTTCGCGGGAATTCGGGATTAACCTTTATCGGAAGTCGGGAATTTATTATTAGTTTTTCTGGAGACGGGTAAGAATGCTTCAATTTTTTGGGGGGGAATTCGGGATAAAACCCCCTCTTTCCGCTTTCTATAATGAGTATTTATCATGTAATTTATTGGTTGACACTCGTTGCTGTAGTTTGTGTCTATAGGTTTGAACAAAATTCAGACCGTTAGTGTTTTCCTTTGAACTGTTTGACATTTGTCATGTTGGGCACGTTTACACCTTGCTATGCAGTATGGGTTTTGCTCATTGTTAAGGCGTACGGTAACCTTTAGTTGCAAAGTTCGATGTCATTTGGAGTAAATTGAATGTTTCTAAAAGACATTTAAACATGAGTTTACGGAAATAGAACCGTACTATTAAAACCAATGCAAAAGTAGAAAAGACAATTGAATTGGTTTTTGAATGTTACATACTGTAATCGTAAATTAACGTTGTTTACACGGACTCATTAGGAAAAATTATTACTCATCTAAAAGACATATACTGTGGAGTCAGTTATATTTGTAAATACCATTTTTTCTTGTGGATTGAGGAAAACTTGTGGATATTTGTTTTTTAGTGTTACCAAAGTCTGCATACAAACATATGGACTATTTGAACATTTGAATATGAAAATTGACATCACTCGCATAATAATGAATTCACAGTTATCAATAAAAAACATCACAAAAAATTGTCATTTTTATTTGGTTAACTTCGCAAAACATTTTATCTATTTTTTTTTAATCAGTTGGAGCACATTTTAACTATGAAAATTTCACACTTTCAACCATTGATTCCATATCTTACTAATAGCTCACTTCGAACCCTGCCATTTTTCGTGGGATTAACTAACATTAACCGATGTTTAGATTATTCACCCAACTCAAACATATAGTGATTTTGAACTTGGGCAACTGTTCTATCTTTGGATACAATTTCCAACGAAAAAAGTTGAATGCCCTCCAATGTTTTGTAGTTTCAATAATAATCAAACGATTTTTTACAATATTCACCCCAAACCGGACTTCTGCTAAAGTATATTATACTTTTTTAGTAATAAAAAAAGATTTCCGGCTTTCAAAAGTTTATTATTATGATATAGAATGTAGTTGACCGTTATAAATAAGTTCAAAGATGTTTATTTCAATGTTATAAAAACTATATACCAATATATATATATACAATAAAAACCTCACAAAATTGTCATTTTTATTTGGTTGACTTCGCAAAACATTTTATCTATTTATTTTTATCAGTTGGAGCACATTTTAACTATGCAAATTTCACACTTTCAACCATTGATTCCATATCTTACTAATAGTTCACTTCGAACCCTGCCATTTTTCGTGGGATTAACTAACATCAACCGATGTTTAGATTATTCACCCACGGCGGGCATATAGTGATTTTGAACTTGGGCAACTGTTCCATCTTCGGATACAATTTCCAACGAAAAGTTGAATGTCCTCCAATGTTTTGTAGTTTCAATAATAATCAAACGATTTTTAACAATATTCACCAAAAACCGGACTTCTGCTAAAGTATATTATACTTTTAAGTAATCAAAACGATTTCCGGCTTTAAAGGGTTTATTATTATTATATAGAATGTAGTTGACCGTTATAAATAAGTTCAAAGATGTTTATTTTAATGTTATAAAAACTATATACCAATTTATATATGTACTGATTTTCTACTTTATTTAAGGTTTCTTTCCACATTTGTTACTTGGTGTATTTTGGATAGTCACTTTATCTTTGCAAATGTCAGAGGTGAGTATTAGAAAGATGTTTTCAACAATTTCCAATATTTATTATAATTCTATTTCCATAGTTTTGTTTTTGTTGTCTTCAATAGCTTGTGTTTGAATGTATGATTTTGCGTGTGTTTAGATATATATTTTACTTTCAAAAATAAAAATGGTTGAATGTCGTAATTTTCACATGTTAATACATTAAATTATGTAATTCAGAATGTTGAATATTATAAAATCTCTGAAAAAAATGTATTTTTATTGATAAGTATCGATACACAAACGCGCGAAAATAAAAAAAAAAAATAAGACAAAACAATTATAGTATGTTGTTTTTTCTTTGCATTGATTTTAATGTTCATTTTTAAAATTTTTGTTTCCTGTTTGATATTATTTCTTCATTCTTTTTTCGTTTGTCTTGGTTGTCTTGTGATTTTTATAATTTGATAATTTAGACATCTGTACATGTATATTTTTTATTTATTCAAAAAATCATGATAGTGATATACTTTCCTTCTTTATCATAAACATGATAAAAAAAAGTGTTTATGCAAATAAGACAACTACTCTCTAAAAGACTTAAGTACAAAGATGTAAGCAATAACCACGGCCATCAACAATTACTAAACTCATACCTTATTGCATCAATAAAAAGCCCGTGTTAAAAAAAATTAAAATACTGCCGAACTGATTTTCTGTTCGCAAATAAAATGCAGACATACTCCAAAAAATACCCAAAAGGAGAAATTGTCAAAACTCCTGAAGTTTTATATGTAATTTGTTAATATTGGTCTAAAATATAAATCCATGTATCAGCTATAGATCATATTAAATGAAATATGCACATTTCATTTCGGAACCAAAATAAAAAATAATTGCCGTTATATGAATTTCTCATGAAAATGGCAAATGTATTGCTACTATTCTAAACAATAACTGCTTGTGTATATCTGGAAAAAATTCACACACTTATGTTGTTTTTAAAAGGCTAGATAACATTAAACACATGGATGAACGGTTTGTATTACCCAGGTTTAAAGTAAAATGTCTCCATTGTATTATTAATAAATTCAAATAGCCATATCGTTGTAACGGATAATTATTACTACTTTGGTTTTATTTATCTGAATATCAGTTATCATCCTGTAAAATAGACAACATTTAAAAAAAATTGGTTATTGTATATTAGCAGATCACTTTTCACCGGATACGGCATATACTAACACAAGGTAAGCTCAACAAAATGAAAAGTCGGCTTCGGCTGAATTGCAATTGTTCAACCGATTACAACTTTTTTTTGCTTGCTTTTAAAAAAAAGATAAAGTTCATTCTCAACTGAAACTAACGCTAGAAACGATTAAGAATTATGATGATCGATTAATCAATGCTGGATATCCATCCAGATACATGTTGTCTCTGATGATTTCAAAATTTCTATTTTTTTTTTATCATTCTCATGTACAAAACCATATAAGATTTCATTCAAAGATTAGGAAAATTCTATTTAACAAGTTTGGATATGCTGTTTAGTTGTCAGCTACAATAATAGATATTGATCAACATGTTTTTAATATAAAATCAATGAGAAAATTCAATGAAAAATCAGGTAAAAAAAATATACCTGATACATAGGACAATATTAAACCACTCACAGGAACAGACAAACCAGTTTACTAAAGTAAAAAAAAAAACATAATTACTTGAAACTTTAAACAGGAAAAAAATATAAAACAACAAAAGTCCTCTAAAAACAACCCTAAACAATTGAGATGAACTTTTGGATGTTGAAGAAAATAAAAAGTTCCTAGCCCGATTGTAACATCTTATGTGAATAAAGTATGGATAACCTACTGCATCAAAATTGAAGTTAACTGGTCATACCAATCTTTAAATACTTCAAAAGCCTTTCTCGAGAGACTAATGGAAGCAATTATATTCAATTAAGAACGAATCGGATAAAGTTACTAAAACGATTTCGTCACGTAGACGGATCATTGCTTAACAGGGTTAAATTGACTTTAGATGTTTAGAATTACAGACCTACATCTATCCCCGGGAATTCGTTTCAAAATGATGTTGGATATATATAACCTCATTATATGCGCCAACAAGGAAAGCAGTTAAAAAAAATGTCACTCTAATTATAATTTGTTAGTTTATAAATAAAATGGTTTTCTTTCACTAATTCACATGTGGTAATTATTGCATACATAAATTGGTATTCAATACACAGCATTAATCCAAACGTTTTAAAAGTAGAAATATTTGATTGTGAGCGTAATATGAAATGAATGTATTCATGTGAGAAGAGTAAAAGATACAATTGCTTTTTTTCAGTGAAGACACATCAGAAAGTCTCGCTGTTTTATATCAAATAATTTAAAAAGGATACGTAAACTGGAAAAAACCCAAATAAACCATATAATTCTTAGAATAAGTTATCAAAAAATGATTATATGTAGATATCAAATGCATGTAAAACTACATAACACATGTGTGTACAAACCTGTTTCCATATAACAATAAAATTGAGAATGGAAATTGGGAATGTTTCAAAGAGACAACAACCCGACCAAAGAGTATAAAACAGCTTATTTAAATATATAATAATAGCATACTATTTCAAATGAAATTTTGCCGGCTAGGACTTTCAACAAGGTTACATAATTACATCTAAAGTTTTAAAACATTGTTTTAAAATTTAGCAAGTAAAAGAAATCAGTATTTAGTTACTCGTACAGTTAACAAAATTGCATATGAAAGCTCGATTCTGATTGGCTTTTACATTTATCTCAAAAATATAATTTTTAATTGACAAACAAAAGTTATCTTTTTTTGTATAGCAATTTAATTCACAGTTGCCATTCCTTGACTTTATAAACAATAATTGTTAAAATAATAAAAGTTCAATGTCTGACAAAATGCACAAAGGAAATATTTCAACAAGTTCAGCATTGATAACTTTGAAAAATAAATCGAATAGCATAAACTTAAATAACAATGACCAGTCCATATAACAAGAAATGTTGGGGTTATATTGAATGTATTGGGTAGGGAGAAAATTATAGATTTTAAAAGGATATCGTGTTGTTATCTCGACCAAACAAGAATCATCCAAACAGCTGTTTGCAAGAATTCACAAAATTATGGCATTGTTTTCCGAACTCTTATTAGAGTGTGTTTCAGCAATACAGAGTTTTAGCTTCAAAAGTGAATAAAAGTATTAACTTTATCATTTCTTAATATATTACAAAAAATCTCATTCTGATTAATTCATTAAGTTGTTATAAAGTGCTTTAAGTGAACCATGGTAGAGTAAATTCGAATTCCCTCATAAAATCATATCACCAACTTACACTACATGGTAATATTATTACCAAACGTTGAAAAAATGTTACAGTCAAAATAAGTAAATCCGTAATCACACAGTCACGTACACTACATGGTAATATTCTTACCAAACGTTAAAAAAATGTGTACAGTCAAAATACGTAAATCCGTAATAAAAGCCTAACTGATTACCATTTATCTACAATTTTTTTTTGTTCCTCTCGACTGTATGACTGGATATTAGAAATTATTTATATGCTAATGAATACTGTTATAGGGAGTTAAAGTAGCGAAAGAATGCGAGCTAGAATATGAAAAGCTGAAAATGGACAAGAAATATCATTACATAACATTCAAACTGGACAATCAGATGGAAACCATTGTGGTGGAAAAGACATTAGACCGAGGCCTTTGTGATTCAGGTATGCACATGTATCTCAATTGAATTATTTAAGAAACTTATTCTTCTGTGTTGTGGATACAAAAAATGCATACGTGTCCTACAAACAACGTTATATTGATCAGTCGTCCCAGTGCCCTTCGAAACTCCATTTCAAACTATTTACATCAATTTTATGAGCAAAGCCGGGATTCAGAGTTATTTTTAAACAATCTTTTGTAAGGGCAATGTGAATCAAATGTGGCTACTTAAAAAGTCTAAAAATCTGTTCAAGCACATGTAATTATAATATATTTCTTCATGTATTAGTATAAACAAATATTTGACTTTTCTATTCTTTACACTAGCATTTAATATGTTTTCATGATCTTTGCTTTCAATGAACGTAATATATCTATTGAAACACAAGTGTTAATGCGTGATAAATGAAAATAACACTTCATTAATGTTTGCGCGTTCGAAACGCTTTTTAGGATTTACCTTCACCAGGAACCCTAATATTTTAAAGCCAAGGATGTACAAGACAAAAAAAAAAAAAAAAACGTGAAGTGCTTTTAGCTTGCACTAAACAGTAAAAGTGTTTTGGTGTTTATTCATATATCCACGAATCTGTGACTTGGAGACTTCTTTGATATTGTATACCGGTCTTCTTGTTTATTGATGAGTTGTTTGTTTATTGTTTAATGTGTCTTTCGTAGCACTAATATTGAGTTTATCCCTCCTGATTTGTGTTTTTTCTTTCTCTTATGTACTTACCCCTTGTTAGTGCACCGATAGAGATTGAAAATTTTGAGAGTTGAGATATTGATGAACTAGTTTATTCACAGCAATTTGTCAGAGTGTTTATGCTGAGGAGTTTGGTACCTGTTCAATGTTTGTCTTACTCATTATGTATAGCTGTCGTTACAAGTTATAAGCCTGTTACAACCACTGGTTCGATGTCACTGCTGTTGGAAGTTTCGTCCCCTAGTATAAAACCTACATAGTAGGCAGTACTTCTGTGCTTACAAGCAATATCATTGATATTGGTATCTTCAGTAAAATAGCTATTAGTAAAATTATCAATTGTTCGAAACACTAATTTTTTTATGCCGCTGTCAGGTTTGATACATGAAATGTTTGATTTTTCGGTGTCCAAAATGAATTTGTGCAGATAAAAGAGGCATCGGGCGCACAATCTTAAAAGTCTGGCAATGAGTTCATATGTGTATTAGTCTTTCGAACTCTTTTCACAACATGATTCAAAGTTTAGCGACAATTTGATTTCATCTGTCTCTATTAATTTGAAATATACGTTGAATTTCACTTTTATGATATCTTAACTTTACGACTTTCGTTTTCCAAGTATCAGTTAGTCTATGAAAGGCATGTGCTATGAAATTGAGATTGAGGGGCTTTTCCCAAGCACTTAATATCATAGTATGTACCTTTTCATCGACTATCCAATTTAGCACACATCTACAACTCAAGGAATCTTTTAATTAGTCTACTGATAGTTTATTTTGGCTGACTACCTGTATCACAGGTGTTTGTAAAACGAAGTTCATTAACTAAGTTTTCTGTTTTGTAAATTTACTCACTATTTATTTATAAGTCAATCTGAAATCAAACTATGTGATTTTAAAAAGCCTTTGAATCCTGATTGAAAAGATTGTAGCTGCTGGTGTAAGTATGTGTCTATCTACATGCAGTTATTTACATGGCAAGATGAAAACAATTGACCAAAAACTGGCATATATAATTAAATTGCAGTAGAAGCTTTACTTTTCACAGACAAACTAAAGCTATGATAAATTTGAAAAATATAGATATATGTGCCATAGATAGTTTAGCGGTTAGGTATTAAAAAGCAACTATCAATAGATCAATTTGAAAGATGGTATATTTCTTTTCATTTCAAAGTTAAAACTAAGAGCTTTATCAGATTATAGATAATGATGGGACATTCCCTTCAGACGTTATCAATGTTTTTCAATTTATGATGAAATGGATCAAGTTCCTTAACAAAGTTAAAACAATCATCATTGAGTTACCTTTTTTCCCTTCCCAAGGTTTCATAGTACATAGGACATACTGTTTTTATGTACAAAGTAATTACATGGATGATAAATTACAGCAATTATAAGATAGCGTTGTACTATTATCATGGACAATATTTGTTATTCTTTATATAAAGGATAGAATATTGCAATTGTCAAAAATATTTTTTTTAAACCAAATATTTTAATAGCAGAATATATATAAAAGTCAATGTGAAAAATAATTACAAACATTTTTTTGTTCAATATGGGACACAGCATACTTTTCCAAAATCGCCAGTGGCAATCTTTGTTTTAATGTCTTGATTACGATACAATGGAATCTTACCCTTGTGGTCATTCATGTATAGCTACTAAGTACACGGAAAGGGTATGTCCTATGAAACTTAGAAAGCAAATTCAAGCAATTTGATTGGACGAGAAGTTGTAAGTATGTGCTAATTGTGAATTTGCAATTTTAATGTAGCACCATTCCAGTAGATCTGGTATAGTGAGTATATACATTGTGTATCTTAAAATGGGTACAATATTTTAGGGTGTACGTTCCCTATCATTATTTCATTGAAGTAAGTATTTCCGAATATCATTGATATGTACATTTTCTGCAGATTAACTGTTTTAAATTGTTGACTTATTCAAAACACTAAAGGTTTTTTCTATCACATGGCAAAGATAGCCTCAGACGTATTTGACACTACTTTTCGAAATTTTTGGTTTTCAATATCTTCAGTTGCGTATATGATTTGCCTTTGAATCGAGCACCAATGGTGAGTCTAATGTAGACAAAACGCACGTCTAAGTTACCAAATAATAAGCCTGGTATCTTTACTGATTTCTACAGCCACCTTCATGATTTGATAGACCAATATAAAAAATCTGTGTCTTAGTTTACAACTAAAACGTTCCGTCGTAGCTATACATCTCATCCTTAACTCGATTATGACAAGGAATGCAACTTGTCAACGAATTTGAAATTGCATTTTATAAACGACGGTTTATACTAAGGAACTGCTTATCCCTCCGGAGAACCTGTTTTTTTTCTCTGAATTTTGGTTGGTTTCTTGTTGCTCAGTCTTTCCTTTTTAGTGTTCAGTGTTTGTTATTGCAATTTTCCTTTTTGGCCATGGTCTTGTATATTTTTCATTGGACGTGAGTTGTGTTGCCCGTTTTGTATATGCTAACTTTTTTCTATGAATATGACAAGTTAACTTCAAAAAAGATTTTTTTGTCAGACGTTGCGTACAAACGATTCCTCCAAGAATTAGTAGAGACAGGTGATTGTCGATTTGCTGCTTTTGATGTTCAGTGGCAACACCAGCTCGAACTGAAGAACGATATCGTATTCTTTTCTTGGTAAGTGTATTCAAATGAAGAACTATCAGTCGTAGAATGATTTTTACACAAAGTGTATCACCACGGAAAACGATTAACTATTTAAAATTCTTTCATGTCAACAATGAAACTAATGGATGTATACATATATATTTTTGTTATCATTATCTCACTTTGTTTCTTATTTTCCTAGATTTTGATTGACTGGTTTGCTGAAATCTAAGTGAAAAAATGCACAAAAATAACATTTAAAAAGGGTTGCTTCCAAAAAATTTGCCAGGAACAGTCATTAATGATTGTCTTTGATAGGAGTTTGCCAATCCAATGGAGGTCATATTTTGGATAGTCTTGATTGTCTTATTGGGATGTAAAATCGTTTGTGTGAAAAATATTAGACAATAATAAAACATTGATAATTGAAATTTAACTATAAAATCTCGATTATGAGTTAATAGCTGTTAGTTTTTCTATTCATATCATATGTTTCAAGTAAGCAACATTAAGAAAAAAATAGCAGTAAGAAACCATTTCATTTTTATAAATAAAGCATAAATTCAACTTTTGAAGGGCTAGTACTTGAAATAAAATTAGTTATGAAATTCTACCAATTAGAATCAGCTGTCAGTTGCACTTATGTTAACTGCAAAGGGGTAAAGTGAGGTTATAAGATATGCCATTTTGGGCAAGAATTTTTAATTTTTGACGTTGTATTATGTGTACGTCACTGCCTTGAACGTTGTGATTGTCAATTTGTCGTATATTAGACACTTTGACTAATATACGACAAAGTGTCTAATATACGACAAATTAGACACTTTGACTGTGTAACATAGTGTACATGTATATGAGATCAGAATTTCCCAAAAGGGTAAATTCTTCTCATGTCTCTACTTGAAATAAATTGCAAATCTATATAAAATCGGAAATCAAGTTCACAAGAGTTTTAGGATTCATAAATTACTAATAAATAAAATTGAGAATGAAAATGGGGAATATGTCAAAGAGACAACAACCCGACCAAAGGGCAGACAACAGCCGAAGGCCACCAATGGCACTGTATGAGATGAACAAGACAAGTTTGCAATTCGCCGTTTCAGTTAAGTTTAATCTGCCTCATATCTTGACCTACCTCTAGAAATTGGCAACGAGGGTCGGCTTAAAACAAAACTTTTCGACAAAAGAGATTATTTCAGCTTCCCATTTGTGAACTTTCCATTTCTATGTAGCAACATTCCAGCAGCGCCTGCATACGGAGTATACATCTCCCAGTTGATACGATATTCGATACTAACATTGCCAACACAACGGGTGCCACATGTGGAGCAGGATCTTCTACCATTCCGGAGAACTTGAGATCACCCCATGTGTTTGGTGGGGTTTATGTTGATCAGTCTTTACTTTTCTATGTTGTGTTTTGTGTACTATTGTTTGTCTGTTTTTTCTTATTTGGCCATGGCGTTGTCAGTTTATTTTCGACTTATAAGTTTGAATGTCCCTTTAGTATCTTTTGCCTCTTTTTCAGAATCTAAATGAATGTGGATAATTTCATTGCACGTACCCTAAACATGTAAAATGTAATAACGCCACGTCATTGGTTCAAATGCCATTGTTCATAAAGTGTTTCCCTAATCACAGCGTGTTGATGTACGCTTTTCAAAATATTACCAAGAATGCGTTAGATTTTGAAACTGCAAATTCTGAATCAAGTGAACTTTGCGAAAATAACAAAGAAATTCCGATGCAATATATATTATACTGTCCAAAATGATTTAACGGAAACGACGCCTCTCTCATCATTTCAGATCACGAATCATTTTTGCATTTGCATTCGTGAATGACATTCGATGCACATGTTTATATCGTCGGTTTTGATACTTGAATTGCGCTTGAATTATACGGACTTTTCTAAATAAATCTTCAGAATGTAAAGCAAAAATGTTTTATGAAATAATCAGTATTGCTGGGCGACGAACATTTTTATACAAAACCTCTGTTTAAAGATCGTTAATTTAGGTAAGAGTGTTATTTTTGGCATCCTACATCGACTATGTATATATTGACTTCAATGGGAAACATTTAAATAAGAAAAACTATGGGCTTGGAGGATGACTTACATATCAATTCAACAATTTATTTTTAATAATCGTTCGTCTTGGCGAAAGATAATGCCTAACAATTGTAATTGTAACATAATTTGTTTTATAGAGGAACGAAGAGCCATCGGGGTATTGTTTCCGGTTCTCGTCATTAGTGGGTTCCAGCCAGATAGAATCTTAATTGACTAGGATTGTCAGTTTTCCTACCGAAGGTCGGTGATTCTCTCCGGGAACTCCGGCTTTCTCCACCAATAAAAACTGACCGCCACGAAATAGCACAATAGTGTTGAAAGTGGTGTTTAACACAAACCAGTAGACTGTTACTTAAGTCATTAGCTTGTTTAATATCGACACAGCGCGTCGGACTTGTACATATCAGGCTTAATATTGCCATACGGTAATGTGCATTTGATTTTTCACTGTACTATAAACAGCCAATCATCGTCATATATAGTAGAACTTGTTGTTTTCTGTTGTTAATATGGTGATATATAGATATAAAATACTTCACACTGCATTAAAGGTCTGGTTGATCTCATGTTACATGTTAAATATTAATACCACCAGCACTGGTAAATAAAGAGTCTTAATCAATCATTATGATTTAAGCATCATCTGAAAAGTCAGAAACTAAAAAATCGTTAAGTTCTTGTTAAGAATTTAATTAATGGTCTGAGATATATTCTTATAGTAAATTCAGTGCTGTTCATACTTTTGCTTGCAGCTAACCAAGTAGTGTCCAGTATCAATTTAATATATTCTAATTTTTAAAAGGTTCAAAACAGCTACTGAAGAATATGAACATAGACTGAACAGATAACAATTGACTGAATAGATAAAAATTTACTGCGAACAGTTCTGAATTAACCAGAGTGATAAATCTGAAAATTGACTGAAAGACTGAACATGACTGTACAACTTTTTTTTCAGTCTTTTAGAGCTGTTCAAATCCAAATGATAATTTCAGTGTATAATTAGTTTTCTAGTGCAGGTTGATCTGTTGTTACTATTGTAAAAGATTATCTAATTGTTGGTCTGCAATACAAATTTACCTTGGTTTTTTACAGGTTACCCGAAAACAGCCCTATGCGCAACAAGATGGTATATACTTCATGCAAAGACTATATAAAGAAAGCGCTAAAACCCACTACAGAAGTACAGGGAACAACAATTAATGAATTCGATTTTGAAATAGTAAAAGCCAAGATCATTCTCGGCAAAAAATTTTGATTTTATGAATTTAATCATTTACTCTTATCACATATTGGAGTTGTCTTTTTTAGACACTTCTTATCAGTTTAGACATGGGAGATAACACCTTTTACCTTAAAAGAAGTTGTAAGGAAGAAAACTCGATATCTTTAAGAGACTTTAAACTTTAATTAAGGTACAGAAGAAATTTCTGAAATCATTAATCCACCTCTAATTCCCATTTCCCATACGTCTTCCACATTTTTGTATGTTTTCTTGTTTTCGAAAGACAGTCTTATTGTATTATTACATAAATCTATGGAAGATTCATGTTTTTTGAAAAAGTAAAAACCATAATCATACGAGGCAAAAACTTTTGATATTATGAATTTAATAATTTGCTCTTATAACTGATTTCAGTTAACTTTCTTAAAGACATAGGAAATACCAACTTCTATCTTAAAAGAAGTTGTAAGGAAGACAACTCAATTTATTTGGAGTTCAATTAAAATACGGTAGAAATTTTTGAAATCAAGTTGAATAATCCACCTCTAATTCCCATACATGTTTTACATTTTTCTGTTTATTCGTGTTTTGGAAAGACAGTCTTATTGCATTATTACTTTAATATATGGAAGATTCATGTTTTATCTTGTTGTCACATTCATAAAACATTTTTTATTAAAGTTCACCATGAACTGCGTTTGTTGTGTAAACATTTGACGCTATCGGTAAAATCTAACCTGTAGTAAACCAGTTCGTGTTTTAAGTTTGATTTTTATTTTAATTCTTATTGTTATAATAATTTCTGCAATCGTGTTTTTTTCTTTCTCACAAAGAACAAATATAATATCTTATTTTTCTATGTTGTGAAAATACCACTTTTCGCTTTTTATCAATGAACTTTTGAGATATTGTTATTTATATTTTTTACTGCAAGAATTAATTTTTAATGAGTTGTCAAATACTTAATAAAATTAAACATTTCTCTTCTTAGTCGTATTTGTATTTTAATAATGGGAATCGTAGATATAAATTTCTTGTTTTGAGTTATAATTATTCTTATTTTGTGAAGAAGAACCACACTGATTCTATCAGAAATTACACTGTGATTTTGATATTATCAGAATGCTGGTCTTTTTAATCGACAATATATTTGTTGAGTTTGGAGGATTGATTTTTCAAGACAGTCGGTAATCCAATGGGTACTAATTGTGCACCCATTCTGGCCGAATTATTTTTGTACTAGTATGAAGCAGAATTAATTCAAAACCATCTAAAAGACAAAAAGAAAAAGCACCTTGCAAAGTTCTTTAATTTTACTTTCAGATATATAGATGATGTCCTATCACTGAATAACCCATATTTCAGTCAGTACTTGCATCTCATATATCCCAGTGAACTTGAAATTAAAGATACTACTGATACAAGAAGGACTGCTTCATACCATGATCATTTCATCAATATTGACACAGATGGACGACTTCACATTAAAATCTATGACAAACGGGATGATTTCAACATCCCAATTATCAATTTCCCATTTCTCTTCAGTAGCATACCCTCTGCTCCGTCGTATGGTGTGTACATATCTCAATTGATACGTTATGCTCGTGCAAGGTCACACTGTCTTGACTTCATATACAGGAGTGTGCTCTTGATGCAGAAACTGCTCCAACAGAATTATGATTAAAAATGACACTCCGTAAATTTAATTGACACCAATTGGTTGATCTATACGATGTATCTGTGTCTAAATTAACTTATGACATTTTTACCACGTATTAGATTGTGGTTTAACATCTATGTCGTCTGTCTGCTAAGTACCGAACGTGAACTATTTCCGAATATGACTGTTATGGCGAGAGTGAATTTACATTGCTATACGACGTGTCTCGGTATTTTGTACATCCAACATTCATGTATCTATTTGTTAATGTTTTTGTTATGGTTTCGGTTGAATAATGTGTTTTGTCGTATCGTTTGTTGTTCAAATAATTATAAAAATGCCTTTCAATACCATCATTGTCATATTCCCGAATATGACTGTTATACTGAATGTGAATTTGCATTGCTGTGCGGCGTGTCTCGGTGTTTTGTACAACCAACATTAACGGATTTATTTTGATGTTTCTGTTATGGTTTCGGTTGGATAATCTGTTTTGTCTTATCGTTTGTAGTCCAAATATAATTATAAAATTGCCTTTCCATACCATCATTGTCATGAAAATTGTTTGGACGAATATTGTGAAAAAATTGTATAAATTTCGAGATTGCATGCTAGTTACGTGATCGCGTCACTGTTTCTGATATCCTGTGGTGTTTTTCGTTGATGGAATATGTTTGTTGTTGTTCTGTGGTTTGCATGTTATGTCGACTATTATATTATTTGTTTGTGCGTTTCTCTGTTATGAATGTTCTTGCGTGTGTTTGTGCTGTATTTCTGTCACGTAGTGTTTTAGCGATATTTGTTAACATTTTCATAAAGCGGGAGGTTTGGCATGCCATGAACCCAGGTTCAACCCACAAATTTTTCTTAAAATATCCAGTACCAAGTCAGGAATATGGCAGTTGTTATCAAATAGTTCGTTTCTATGTGTGTTGGCGTTTGTTTTTGTTGCACTTCGGTGTTCCTGTTGTTCCTTTGTTTTCCTCTTATAGTTGATGTGTTTCCCTCGGTTTTGGTTTGTTACCCGGATTTGTTTTTCAATCAATAGATTTGTGACTTTTGAACACCGGTATACTACTGTTGCCTTTATTTACTTCTTCACATCGACAAAAAATAGAGAAAACTATGTTTCCTAGAAATGAATATCCATTTCGATTAACGTGTCCTAGGTAGTTCTGTGAAATAGTCTATCATCTAGAAGCAGAGTGTATATATTACCTTCTGACAGAATAGTGTTTCGAACTTTAAGCTGAAATTCAATTATTATCATTATTAGGTGCACTTCTGATACACTCTAAATGCGTATGGCACAATAAAGTTCTGCATGTCTTTATTTCATGATGAAACATCACGTTAGTTAAAAGCGGAGAAATATATAATAACAGTATTTCGCAAAGTTTCTCATTTTTCAAAGTTGCAGTTCAACATGAAAAAAGTAAATTAACAAAAATACCGAAATCCGAGGAAAATTCAAAACGGAAAGTCCCTTATCAAATGGCAAAACTGAAAGCCCAAACACATCAAACGAATGGATAACAACTGTCATATTCCTGACTTGGTACAGGCATTTTCTTATGAAGAAAATGGTGGATTAAACCTGGTTTTATAGCTAGCTAAACCTCTCACTTGTATGACAGTCGCATAAAATTCCATTATATTGACAACTGAAGAAAATATCAATACAAAAAATTGCGTATGGTTAAATCATATTTTTTGTACGTCATATTAATTCGTACTATGCGGATTTTTTCAATGGGAATTGTGACGTCACAATACGTTCTTAATACCACGAAAACCCATAATACGAAGATACAATTCAGAATATTGAGTAGGAATTTTCTTGGCCGTACTTGTTTTACAATTTTATTTTATCGAGCTAGAAAGCACGTGGTATAATATGAAATAATTTGAAGATCATGTATTATTAGTAGTGTTTTACAACAGCGTTATCTTAAGATGAAAACAATTGACAATTCATCCCGATTCCTCCAAAGGAAATGCAAATGTTGAATAATTCTACTTTTAATTGCTATAATTTTATCATCTAGCTGAAGATATTCGAAAATAAATGAAAAGATATTCCATGATTTAAAATCTGCAAACATCACGTTACTCATCAGCATATGAATAATCCATTGTCCACTGGACCTTTGAAAATCATTAGTTCACATAAAAAACTTATAACCAGTATTCATATGAGGCTGAGTTCATAGAAGAGCTTCTTGAGAAGAATGGTAAGAAGCTAGCAATATCCTTGAACTTCACATATCGTTATAAAGAGGATATCCTCTCACTAGATAATTCAGTTAAAAATGAGTTTGGTTCATATATTGAACGCATCTATCTCATCGAAAAAAAAACAAATAAAGGATACAAAAGATAAAGTTAAGTCTGCTTCATATCTTAACTTACATCTAGAAATTGACAATTTCGAACAAACGTTTACGATAAAAAGAGATGATTTCTGATTCCCAATTGTGAAACTTTCGATTTCTATATAGCAACATGTCAGCAACGCCTACATATTGAGTATATATTTCCCAGTTGTTACGATATTCAAGAGCTTGCATTTCCTATCATGATTTCGTTGATAGAAGGTTACTGCTTACAAGGAATCTTTCAACCAAGAGTTCCAAGTTCAAATTTCTGAGGTCCCGGGTTCCAGTCCTTGAGGAGACAACGTGATTTAGAAATAAGAACTTAGTCATTATAGCTAGGGTATGTGTTATGAGAGTCAAAATGGTATGATAACTCTTGAGGTAGGAGTGTGACGGGATTGCTTCTCTTAGTAGATGTTTAGATACTTAGCAAGCCGTAAGCGGATGAGCGAGGACAGTACTTCTTTAGCTGAGTCGGTTAAAGCACTGCCTCGTAACATAGAGGTCTCTGGTTCGAGTCCCGGAGGAGACAAAGATGATTTTTTAATGAGCGTCATGCTCTCCAGTTACATTTGGCACCCATCTAAAAAAAACCATGGTGATTAGAGAGGATGTCCAGCCAGGATATGTGTTGTGAGAGTCATAATTAATTAATAGTATGATGACTCATGAAGTGGAGGAAGTGTGACGTGATTGCGTCCTTTGCATAGTAGTTATATAGCCAGCCGTAAGCGGTTGAGCTAGAGAAGTACTTTTTTTTTAGCACAGTCGGTTAGAGCGGTGCTTTGTAACAAAGTCCCAGGTTCGAGTCCCGCAGGAAACAAAGTGTTTTGTAATGAGAATCATGCTCTCCGGTTACAATTTGTTTCATAGCTTCACTCTCTCTTCTTCTTTAGTTCAATATCTTTACTGTTATCTCCTCGTCCTTAGTGAAACATCCTTTTTTTCTCACAAAATATTAGAATTTTCAACACTGCAAAAATAAAAGAAAAATAATTGTCGAAACAGTTAGAATGCATTTTATATTTGTTTTGTTGATAATAGTTGATACCTTGATCTGAAGGAATGAAACACGGTGATAACAAACATGCTACAAAGTTTGTATGTGCATCTTTTTTTACTGTAAACCAACTTATTTTCGCGGTAACTTTATCTTGCGTTTAACCCTTT